CGAGAGAGTTGCAGGAGAGGGGGTTAGGAGCAGAAGACACGTGGCAGAATCAGACGGGCTGATCGGGCGGGTACATCCTAACATGCGGGCAGAAGCGGCCAGGTCGACCAGGCGGGTTGCTGAAACGTGAGTCCAGCATGAATCGCGAGGAAACCTTGAGGGACAGCGCGATTCCAGACAAAAATCTCGTGAGGATTTCCAAGGCGAGAGCGTGATTCTGGAGTGTCGAAGGCGCGACGAATAAGTTGCGAGGAGGTATTAGGCGAGAGCGCGATTCTTCCTTAAGTTGCAAGGAGGTCCCTAGTGAGAGCGCGATTCGTCGATAGATTGCGAGGAAGTATCAGGCGGGAACCGTTGTTGAATTCTCCGTACTGAAGAACAGATATTATTGATCCCCCCTCCGGTGCACATGGTATTTTTCAATTGAAGTGCCCCCCCCCTGGCGCTCGCACCTTTCTCTTTATCAGGGAAATTCTTCCTCAAACTGGGCCCCTGGCCCTCCGGTTACAACGACGGCTCCCGGTTGAGACTTCCGACAATTTAGCCAAGACCCCCGTTCCCGCCTGAGACTTCCCGCAATTTATTCAGGAATCGGCGCTCTGGAGTCGCGCTCTCGCTGGAGATTCGCTTGCAATTTACTGAAGAAGAGCGCCCTTGCGTTGAAATTTCATGCAATTCACTCAAACGCCGCGCTCCCGACATTCAGGCACCCAGGAGTCGCGCTCACGCTTAGGACTCCCTGACAGATTATGTAGGAATCGGGATCTCGCTGCCCTTCGTGGCCCCGTTGCAGCCCTTCGTGGCTCCCTCGCTGCCCTTCCTGGCCCCGTTGCATCCCTTCGTGGCCCCCTCGCTGCCCTTCGTGGCCCCGTATATGTATGCCCTTCGTGGCCCCCGCTCGTTCTTGCCCTTCGTGGCCCCATGTGCATGCCCTTCGTGGCCCCGTTGTCGCCCTTTCTGGCCCCCTCGCTGCCCTTCGTGGCCCCGTTGCAGCCCTTCGTGGCCCCCTCGCTGCCCTCCGCGGCCCAATACACGTATGCCCTTCGTGGCCCCCGCTCGTTCTTGCCCTTCGTGGCCCCATGTGCATGCCCTTCGTGGCCCCGCTGTCGCCCTTTGTGGCCCCCTCTGTGTCCTACGTGGCCCAGTTGCTGCCCTCAGTGGCCCCGTCCTTGCTTTCTGTGGCCCCGCATTATCTGTTCTTCGTGGCTCCCGCTCGTTCGCGCTCGTCGTGGCCCCGTACGCATTCCCGTCGTGTCCCCGCTGTCGCCCTTCGTGGCCTACTTCGTGCCCTTCGTGGCCCTGCTATCGTTCTCTCTCTCGCTCTCGCTTTCGCTCGTCGTCGTCGTCGTCGTCGTCGTGGTCGGTCCCCTGTCCGTCCCTCTTGGGGTCGGGTTGCCTCCGATCAGCGCTGCCGAGGCCGACGGTCTCTGGCCGCCCCGCCGCTTGCCGGGGCCCGGCCTGCAGGGAAGAAAGGTATACCCCCCCAAAGGGGTACGATCGAAGACGAAGAGGGCGTGTATCGAGGGTTTAGGAAATACGCGTTAACGGCAACCCGAGCAGAGAAGAGCGAACTTTCTTAAAATGATAGTTGTTGTTGTTGTTGTTGTTGTTGTTGTTGTTGTTGTTGTTGTTGTTGTTGTAAGCCTGGGGCCAGAGGCACAGTTTGAGCAGGAATCTTTCCCCCGGTAAAAGTTCACGGAGGCCCGGCAGGGGCACTTCATTGACAATCTCACATATGTTACGCCAGCGCGTGAGTCCTGCATGATTCGCCAGGAAGTCTTGGGTGAGAGCGCGATTCCTAAGTAAATTCTGAAGAAGTTTTGGGCGAGAGCGCGATTCCTGAATGGCGAGGGCGTGGCGCCTGAATACATTGCGAGGAAGTCACAGGTGAGAGCGCGATTCTTGGATACATTGTAAGGAAGTCCCCAGCGAGAACGCGATTCTTAAATACATTGCGAGGAAATATCAGGCTTGAGCCGTTGTTGAATTTTTCATTTCTGAAGAATGATTATTGTTGTTCCACTCAGGATCGGTGTTCCCGCCTGTGACTTCCTCCCAATTTAGTCAAGACCCCCGCTCCCATCTGAGAGTTCCTCACACTTTACTCAGGAACGGCGCTCCCGCTTGAGACTTCCTCGCAATTGAATCCAGTTTTTCTAGCAATTTGATCAAGACCCCCGCTCCCGCCAGAGAACCCTTCACATGTCATTCAGGAATTGCGCTCTCGCCTGTGACCTCTATGCAATATATTCAACATCGCGCTTTCGACGCTCAGGAAACATGCTGGGCCAAGGATGCCGTTACAATTTAGTCAGTAGTCGCGCTCTCGCCAAATTCAGGCATCCCGCTTGAATGTCCCACCCGCCCGACCCGCTCGTCAGGGGATCGCCCGCCCGTCGTGGGCTCCCGCCCGAGACTTTCTTCAGGAACGGCGCTTTCGCCTAGGACTTCCTCGAACGTTCACGCTCTTACCTTCCTGCTCCTCCTCCCTCTCCCTCCTCCCTCCTCCCTCCTCTCCTCCCTTCTCTCTCCTTCCTCTCTTCCATCATCCTTATGCCTCTCTGCCCTATTCCCTCTCCCTCCTCTCCCTCCTCCCTTCTCCCTCCCCTCTCCTGCCTCCTCCCTCCCTCTTTCTTGCTCTCTCTCTTTCTCTCTCTCTCCCCTCTCTCTCTCTCTCTCTCTCCTTTTGTCTACCTCTCTTATATGTCTTTCTCTGGCTCTAATGAACCGCCCCCTCTTCGCTCCGTCTCTCCTGGCGTTCTCCCTCTTCCTTCGTCCCTTCCCCTCCTTTCCTCCCACTCTCCCTCGTTCTCCCTCTCCTCCTTTTACAGGGCCCACACCAATACCAATGGCGGGCACATGTACGCCCACGAAGGATTGTCCGCCCGTTCAGGTTTGCCCGCCTGTCTAAGCCCGCCGCCCCCCGCAAAGAGAAATAATCTCCCCCAAGGGGGTGTGATCGAAGACAAAAAGGGCGGGTCTCGAGGGTGTGGGGAACTCGTTTTGAATGACACGCGGGCAAGTAAAAGCGAACAGTATTATAATTATTGTTGTTGTTGCTGCAAACGGGGGTCCAGGGGCACAGCCTGGGCAGGGGTATTTTCCCTTGAGCTCGCACAGTGTGCGAGCTCCGGGAAGGGCACTTCAGTTGAATATCAGCCAGCGTTGATTCCAAATAGATAGGAGGACAGGAGGAGGACGAGAGGAGGATGGGAAGAGGACGAAGAGGAGGACGGGATCAGGACGGGAGGAGGACGGGAGGAATAACATCAAGCAGACGTAAGCAAGCAAACGGCAATAAGCTAGCGCAAGCGAGTAATATCAAGCGAGCAAGAGCCAGTGATCAAGTGCAAGCAAGCAAAGGCAAACACGAGCAAACAAACGAGAGCAAGCACGCAAGAGCAAACAAGCAAATGCAAGTGAGTGTGCAAGAGCAAGCGCGCAAGAGCAAGCAAGCAAGCAAACAATCAAACAAACATGTACAGGCAAGCAAGCAAAATCAAGCAAACATAGGAACCCATGTGATTCATAGGAAGCCATCGGAATCCACAGGGTTCGCCATTGGAAATAGCTGGGGGTGCCATTGGAGATAGCCATAGGAATTAGGGGGGCATGGGAGTCGGGGGGGAACGGACCAATTACTAGGGCTTGAGTTAGAATTACTATAGGGCAAACTTATTTGGAGAAAAAACATATGTTACCGGAGGGGAGATCAACAATACCCACCACCAACAACAACGGCTGCCGCCTGATATTTCTTCACATTACATTTCAAATTCGCACTCTCGCGCGTAATTTCTTCCAGGCATTACGCTCTAGCGCTGTATTTTCTCCGAATTGATTGTGGCGCGGTGCCCGCAACACCTAGAAATCGCGCTCTCGTTTAAACATTTCCAGACGATTTACGTGGGAGTCGCGCTATCGCCCGAAACTTCCGCTGCAGGCGTCTCCTCCTTGGAAAATCAAGCGCCCTGGCTGCACCAACGGGCTTGCCGCCCAAAGGCAACGACATCGACCACGGCCCTGGCACGGTCGTTACCCCGCCTGCTACCTAGCGTCCGTCCGCAGCCACTTGTTTTCTCACACCCTCTTGTTGCAAAGCACAGGCCCGTGCTCTGCTGTGCGAAACACAGCTCGCCACACCGCGGTGCCCAGGTTTGAGACCTTCCCTGCCTCGGCGCCGCCCCATGTGGGGACCCAAATCAGCCTGGCGCGCGCCCCCGCACCCGACGGGAGCCCGGACACGCCAGCAGCTCGTTCCACTTCCCGGCTGCTGGCCCCTCTGCCGCAGGGCCTTGATGCCGGCAGGCCAGTCGAGGGCGCCGTTGCCCAGGGCCGTTGTCAGAGCGAGTTGCACCCACAGCGGGCAGACCTCGGGTCGGGATCTCCGTTGCTCCCTTCGCGCGCGCATTCCACCGGCTTTGTCGGCTCCCGCTCCCAGCGGCGTCTGCCCCCTGGGAAGGCTGGTCGGATTTCAGACTAACCCTCTGATCCGATCAGCGATCAGGTCGGGCGTTTCCATGCGCCTCTTCCTCCTCTCGCTCACCTTCGCCCTCGCCTTCGCCTCCGACTCACTTTGACTCGCCTCGCGTCTCCATTCGTCGTTCCCTCTCTCCTTCCCCTTCTTCTATCTGTCTCTGAACGCATCCACGTCCGTTCCCCCTCTTCCTCCTCTCCCCTCCTTCATCCTCCCTTTTGTTTTCCTCCTCATCCTCCCTCCCTTCCATCATTCTTTCCTCCTCGCCCCCTGCTCCTCCTCTTTCTTCCACCCTTCCGCCACGTCCCTCCTCCTTCTCTTCTTTTTCCCCTCCCCTTCCTCCTTTAGCTCGTCTTCGTCGTCGTCGTGCTGCTCCTCCTACTGGCCCTCCCCCGCCTCCTCCCTCTTCCATCATCCTCCTACCCTCGATACTCCCCAAACACCGCGACGACCCGAGAAGACCTCTCGCCCCCGTCCTACCCCCCCAAGACGCCTCGAGACTTCCTCCCCTGTCGCGCAGCAG